AGGCCCCATTGAAAATAATGGCAGTGTGGTCCTGTACATGTCATTTTGTCCCTCCTGGCTTCCTGTCAGCGGAAATTCAGAACCGCAAACGAGAAGTCAGTAAATCCAAAGGGACGACTGTAGTTGCTAGTGTATTAATTATACCAGGGGTAGGCAACCTTTCCCCTTTAAGGGCCGAGGGACTTCAGCTCCCAGAAGCCTCAGCCATGTTAGCCAATAGTCCCATGTTGGCCAATAGCTCCTGGGATTCTGGGAACTGAAGTCCCTCAGCCCTTAAATGGGAAAGGTTGCCTACCCCTGAATTATACATTAGATTACTTTTGAAACTGGGGGTGGGAAATGTTGAATTCAGTATGCTGCTTCTATAGAAGTATATTTGAAAAATTAATCCCAGTTAATAGATTGATACAAAACATCTTTCTTGCTCTCTTCCAAATGCAATTACTGCTAGTTATAGTTTTATTTCATAAATAGCAGTGCTGTTCCCACTGACTGCAGTTTTCTTATTAAGGTTTCTGTGTATATGATTTTAGTAAAGATGATGGTGGTGATGATGGTGATTATGATGATGGCGATGATCTGGCAAAATAAAATGGGCTTTGTTGATATTTGATCTTTTGTTTTTATAAATAGGTATTTATGTAAGCTGTCAGACCAGGAGTTAAGACAGAGTGCAGCTCGTAACATGGCAGACTTAATGTGGAGCACAGTTAAAGAGCCGTTGGATACAGCCTTGTGTTTTGATAAAGAGAGTCTTGATCTTGCATTTAAGTACTTTATGTCACCAACTTTAACCATGAGATTGGCCGGACTCAGTCAAATAACAGTAAGATTCTTTTTTAAAAAATAATATATTGTGTGCAACAATATTTTTCGCTTGGCTGAGGAGATTTGTGCACTTTAAGTCTATAGCCTAGTGATTTTCAGAGTGGGTGGTACACATCCAGGGGAGCAATGAGGGAAAAGGGGGCAGCAGGGGCCCTTTATTCATAGTATTGGAACTCAAGAAAGACAAGGGGAATCAGCAACCTTTAGGACCAGGGGGAGATAAAAAATTACAGCATGTGGTAGCAAGAGAGAAGCATAGCAAAAAGGAGCTTTTACATTTGGGGCCCTGCTTAACTGTGAGCCTTGCTGGGATTTGGCTGGCAGGTTGGAGTTGCAGTGCTGCTCCTGCTTTCTTTCGTTGGACAGGCCGAAAGAAGAGGTAGCAGAATAAAAACAATTGGGGTGAGGCTAGAAGCTGTATGGGGAAGCCACATCTATGGGGAAGGAGAGGGAGGAGTATCTGGGGTTGATTTTCCAAAGAGTCCTTCGCCTCTCTTGGATTGAGAGTCCCTCTTTGTTGGGGGAAAAAAGTAGGAAGCTAGCTGCACTCCTGTCTGTCCCAGCAAAGAAGGATTTGAGAGTCTTTCCTCTCTGGGGAGAAGCTTCTCCCTTTGCACCCAGTCACCTGGGAACATTAACCGAGCAGCTGATCAAGCAGCAATTGAGAAGCCTCTTACCTGTGTTGGTCTTTGTCACAGGGCCAGCAAGGCTGCTCAGTCACTGCTCAGCCTGCTGCTCGATTGCTGCTCCCAGGATGAACAGGAGTAAAGGGAGCAGTGATTGAGCAGTTGGTCAAGCAGTGACTGAGAAGCCTCTCACCTGCACCATCCTTTGCCAGAAGGCCAGCATGGGCGAGAAGTTTCTTGGGTACTGCTCCCTTTGTACCTAGTCACCCTGGGAGGAGCAGCCAGCAAGCTGGCCTTCCTTCTGCTGTTAGCCAGAAGGAGGAGCAACCACTGTATTCACACATGAGAGGAGGAGGAGGAGGAGGTGGTGGCGAGCTGGGTGTAGACACTGCTGACCCAGCTGGCTGCTGCACAAACAGTAGACCTATTATCAAGAAATAGGCATTGGGGGCACTAGGATTGTCACCCAGTAGGAAAGGGGGTGGTAGTCCAAAAGAATTTGGGGACCACTGATACAGCCAAACTCAGTCTTGTGCATTAGAATGAGATGGGAATGGGGTGGTAGAGTTGTATGGTGGGAAATCAAATTATACAGCTTCAGCCTGTCTGATATGTAAGAATGCTCTGCTACACAAAGAGCTCACTGCAGGGCAGAGAGGGAAGGCAGTCAGCAGTACTGTGGTACACATTAACTCTAGCCAGTAGTTTCTGAGTGTTATATAGCAACTCTTTCTAAAAACCACAAGACCTCTCATAGTAATAACGTTTTTACACAGAATGCCAACCTTTTTCTAAATTGAATTCTTTCATTTGAAAACCAGGTTACACAACACACATGAAATCAAGGAATGTGATTCTGGTATTAAATAGGAAATAGCTGAATGCTGGAGTCATTCTTCAGTTATGTTCATATTTCTGAAATTTACAAAGCAAGGTGGAATGCTTGCTGTTGTTAGATAAAATGCACTGTTCAAAAGAAGCTAGCTCTGTTTCTTGATTCCGCTCAGTGCAAATTCCACAAGGTCAGTTAAAAAGAAATTACTGCAATATCAGAACCAACATATTTTAAATGAACCCTCTTAACTGAGATTTTTCTCCAGTTGTAGTAATGCTGCAGGTAGATAATTACATTTGAATGTTGACTTCCCATTATGATAGACGAATTAATGCATCCTCAGAATAAGAAAGCTATCAGCTCTTTGATCACACTATCTTAATTACATGTATATAATCCCTAGAAAAAATGCCGGAGAGGGGAGATGCAGAATTGCAAGATTTTGCTATTTTAGGACATAAAATAAATTTTTGTTGGAGTATGCAGATAAGCTGGATCTAGCATACACACACACAGAGTTGATGCATGTAGGCAGGAATACCCAGAAGATAGTCTTCTGTGAAGAATCTTGCTCCAGACGGCACAGGAAAAATCCTCCCACACGCAGCTGCTGCTTTCAGCTTGGAGAAATGAATAGCTGGACAGCGAGACTTCACTCAGTGAGGCTTTAATTTTTGTTGCAAATATTTAGAAAGATTTACAGAGTATCAGACATCCATCTTGAATATTCACAGCTAAACAGACCAACAAAGTGCTTCACCAACCGCCAACCACAACTAACCAACCATGGAGATTCTGACACTCTCCCATATATAGGT